TTTTTTCCTACAAAATAAACAGAATTTTCAGCATTTTATTGCATCTAATGCATGGAAGGTTCCTTTTTTCTGTTTTAGCTGATGACTGGCGACCAATTGTAGTCCGACGCTGTCACTTCATCGGGATCATTTCCAGAATGTCCCACTCGTGGTGCACGTCGTGTGATACATTTGGCTTAATTTCTTGGTAATTAAGGCACTGCTGTTAATTTTGCCGTTCTAGGCATCATACATTAAACTTTCACTTTGACATGAATTCGGCCAGCCAGACAACCCAAAGCTGGTTCTCCGGGCATGTGCTAAGCAGCAAAGCCTCCCACTGCTCGACCGTGGTGATTGTGAATGTAGGGTTTGGGCTGTGTTTAACTGAGTGAGTAGCTACGGGGCAGGCCCATATAATATGGTCGAGCTCGGCGTTAGGTGCAACACACGCTTTGCATTGTGGCGTGTGAATAGCGGGGTAAATACGGTTGTGTAGTGATTGACATGAAAAAGCGCGTGTCTGTGATAGATGCCAGGTAGTGGAGTGCTGCTTACTAAGACACTTGTTTGGTGGTGGGTATTTAAGTCTAGCCTTGTGGTAATACATTAGGATTTCTCCGAAGGTAGCCATTCGGTCCCTCGCATTGTTGCGAAACGAGGAGACCATCATCTCTCGCTCAGCCGCGTCAGGTCTCGAGGGGTGGTACTCTGCTGATGACGCGCCCATTGGACAAAAGCTCGGGCAGCGCCATGAGCGTGTTCGTTCCCCGCGAGCCCGGTTAGCTGGTGAACGGCTTTGCAGCGCGAGCAGTAGTTTTTTTACTAGCAGACGCTGCCTACAACAGCCTTCAAGTTAATGTTCTCTCAATGACGTTTCGTTTGATATTCATGAAGGCAGGTTAGAGAGTGCTTGCGTGAGTGTTAGTCGTGATAATGTCACGTAAGTCACTAGTGATCAAGTCGATTGGCCGAGTGATAAGTATGACGTTATTGCTCGCTCACAGGCGTCTCGTTTTATATGCATGAAGGCTGGTTACAGAGTGCTTGCGTGGGTGTCAGGCGTGAGGACGTCACGTGAGTCACAAGTGATCACGTCACTAGGCAGAGTGACAGCGTACGAGTTATTATTTTCTCTAAGACGTTTCGTTCGATATGCATGAAAACAGCTTAGGACACTGCGTGCGTACGTGATAGGCGTAATGATGTCACGTGAGTCACTAGTGATGGCGTCACTAGGCCCAGTGACAGCTTTCAAGTCATTACCCTCTCAAAGACGTTTTGTTTGATATGCATGAAGGCACATTAGAGAGTGCTCGCGTGAGTCTTTGGCGAGATGACGTCACATGAGTCAATAGTGATGACGTCACTAGGCCTAGTGATAGCGTTCAAGTTATTACTCTTTCAAAGACGTTTTGTTTGATATGCATAAAGGCACATTAGAGAGTGCTTGTGTGAGTCTTACTGTGAGATGACGTCATGCAAGTCACTCTCTCAAAGACGTTTCGTTTAATATATATGAATTCCGGTTAGACACTGCGTGTGTGGGTGGCAGGCGTGATCATGTCACACGAGTCACTAGTGATCACGTCACCAGGCCGATTGACAGCATTCAAGTTGTTACCCTCTCAAAGACGTTTCGTTTGGTATATATGATGGCAGGTTAGACATTGCGTGCGTGGGTGATAGCCGCGATGACGTCACCTGAGTGACTAGTGATCAAGTCAGTTGGCCGAGTCATAGGTAGCACGTTATTGCTCTCCCAAAGACGTTTCGTTTGGTATGCATGTCGGCAGGCGAGTAAATTATGTGCACAGGTGATATGGGTGATGATGTCCCCTGAGTCACTGGTGATCCGGTGGCTTGGCAGAGCTTTAGGTATCAAGCTCCTGCCCTTTCAAAGACGTTTCATTTGATATGCATGACAAAAGGTTAAGACAGTGCGTGCGTGGGTGATATGCGTGAGGACGTCACCTGAGTCACTCGTGATGAGATCATTGGCCTGGTTAATAAGTATCAAGTTATTACTGTGTGGACGGCGTTTCCTTTGATATACATGTCGAAGGCGTGAATAGTGCTTATGCGGGTGATAGGCATGATGAAGTCGCGCGAGTCACATTGTGTCACTAGTGACTTATTCATGGTTTTTTTCCCTCTTAAATTCACTCCAAAGCTATTCACTCCACGCATTCCTGAAAATTCTGAGTCGTGTTGAAGTAACATGTCATCAGGATTAAATTTGCTGGCTCTGGATTAAATCGACTGGCAGTTGGATTAATTTCAGTGGCACTTAGATTAAAATGAATAGCACCTGGATTAATTTGAGTGGCGGCTGGATTAAATTGACTGGCACCTAGATTAATTTGGCTGGCACTTGGATTAAATTAAGCGGGAAAACCTGTAGAAGTGACGGAAGGTGAAGCATGGCCAGGTTGAAAAGGAATGGAGAGAAGACTGACCCCTGTGGTGTCCCTTTTCCACCGAGAGTGATGGAAGGTGCAGGCAAATCGTTGACCGAGAGTGTGGCTGTCCTGTCCGTTAAAAAGTATAGGATGTAGCGGTCGGTACGGCCGCCTACGTTGAACGTGGCGAGGGCGTCAAGGATGGATGAATGTCGACGACTGCGGAGTGTGTATCGGTTGTCATCACCGCGTTGTCCCTACAGGCAAGTGCCAAGTCTGTGCATGGTCTAAAGCACAGTGGAGTATTCTTTTACAAGTGGATTGGCAGTGATGGTGCACGCCGAGTAGGCAATAGGGAACGAACAATTGTCGAGCGACGCCACCATCGCGCTGACCTCCGCGCCACCAACGGAGATGTCGCCATACACAGGCGCTCTACCGCGCGTCATCCTTCGAGCCTTTCTTTCTGCTGATGCTTGCGATCGTCACCGACGTCTCGTCTGTTCGGAAAGTAACAGCTCCCACCGATTTGCAGAGCGCAACGGCACTATCTGTGTGTGCTCAGGAACTTCTTCAGTCAGCAGCACCTGCACACAGCACGCAAGCTACGCGCGGTGTCACGTGTTGTGTATTGCGGGTGCAAGCCTGTCGAAGGCCTTGACGACTATTTTCAGCCGTCGCTACGGCAGAAAGGACGCCGCTTGCTGCGCAATAACAATGTGTTCGGCGTCCGAGAAATTGACGAGACTGCCAGCTTGAGGAGTCCCCGAAACTGAAATGAATAAAGCAGGAGTAAGTCCCATCAACCAACTGCAGCTGGTGTAGCAGTGTCAATCAATGAAAGGGCCATCAGAGCGTTTTGTTCAATGGACCTCTGGGTTATGGGCCCAGCACACACCCACTGCGCCACTCTGCTGCACATGAAAGGTACATGATTGGAACAATAAAGAAATACACTGCACATTAAAAGTATCTTTTACGTCATCCTACGTTCACACATTTAAGTTTTCTCTCCTGCATGAGTGGCGAAAAATTTTCTCGCATTTTCAATGTATAGGAATGCACTAATACAACAGTCGGGGATAAATACCATTAATGAATAGCGCAAAACTATCAGCGGACAAGAAACACGCATGACAGCGTAGGTAGGTCCATTGCCGTTTCTTGTCCGCCACCGTCAACCACGTCAACGCCGCGTAAAGCATGTGGTGTCAAAACAAAATTAAGCGCGAACAAAACGGAGAACGGTTTCCGGTGCACATGTAATTTCCGATTTCCTTGCGACGAACTACACGATAATCCACTTTTGTCTAAGTGTAGTGTGATTGTCATTAACACAAAAAAAAAAAAAAAACAGATGGCGTAAGACGGTAACTCAGTGCGTCGCAAGCTAGCGCAGAAATGGTGTTGCACGTCCTTCAATTCATCAGGACGATATCCAAAATTTTAGCTCAAAAACACCAACCTTCAAAACGTGAGACACTTAAAATACAATAAACTCGCATTAAGCAACCCCCCCAGGTAAACTACCCGCACAACGATAAAACATATTTTTTCCTAATTTGCTTCAAAATAGACTGAACCACGTCCTCGACTGCTTTTGCAGTGTATAGCGAAAGCAGCAGTTTGCGAAATAGGAATTCATGAAGAGGAATTCACTCACTTGACTCGTCGCACGGCGATAATCCAGTTTTGCCTTCGTGACTTTTTTTAAGGCTTAGACGGGAAAGGCTTAGACGGGAAGCTGTACAGCCTCACGCCCGGTGTCCCTTCGCGACTGTAGCAGTTTTTGACCGAGCAGTACCTGCGTCCACTTTTCTTCTTGATATGCGGTCAACCAGGCGGTTCTGATGATGCCATGGTGGCTTCAATTACAAGTACAGGCGCAAATCTTTCGGATGCGAAGGACAAGCGCTCAAAAAGCCCACGCTAGATCTACGCTAAACATGTGCAGTGAAGACTGACCTGCGCGCGCGAACGCCTTCAAGCTTATTGTTTGGGCCGTCAGGTGGCGCGACCTGTTCTCAAAATTGCATTGCAGGGTGCCTATGGGCTGCAAGCAACTAGACAGTAGACGATTTGGCTATCTGTGTCTGTACCACATTCCTAAAAAGAACTGTGTCAGGTTACAGTTAAAAGCATACTGCAAAATAGGTGTATCGCAGACAGCCGATCAATTATGTTCATTCTGTCGTTATACCACACAGCGTATCCTGAACCCTGCAGTAGTTTCAAAATTCTATTTGTCGTCGTCACCGCTTGCTAGCGGACGGTTGCACAGGAATGACTAAATCTTTTCGGCACTTTGGCAAAAGGAAATGGTTTTGTTAGGAGCACCTTGGGTAATATTTGCTGTGGCACTGCATTTATTCTTTTGTTGGCGGCGATTGTGTACGTTACGAGATGGAAATTCTTAGCTGGTGGTTGATATGCAGTATGTTTAGTGCCTAATTACGCTGCCATACTCGGCAGGTACGAATTAACGAGATTTCAATGTAGTTGCGTCGCACCTTTGGCAGGTACGTATCAGTGAAGTTTACCTGTGCTTTATCATCACTGAGAGTTAGCAGAACATTTCGAATACTGTGTTGTCCATCACTTACATAACTTCTTTTACAGGGGCTTTGCACAAGTTCACTGTCGATCACTCACCTCCTTTGATTCAACCTCGGGGCTTGGAGAATGGCAAGAACTGGTGCTACATCAATGCCGTATCCTTTTACCTTTACTACTTTCATCCTCCTGAAATTGTGCTCCTCTCAAATTTTTTTATACAGAAATAACGCTCCTGACGTGCGGGATCTCTGAAGTCTTTTAGTGAAGGGGACGTCTTCTGAAAAGACATTAATTTCTCAGTGATGCACAGTAAGGAAGTATCTCCTTCCCAGCAAAGTTCTTTTGCAGGAAAGCAGATCCCACATCAACTTTCTGAACAAAGAGCAGTGGCTTTCAGCTATGGATATTTTGGGTACTGCTTGTGGACTGGTGCAAGTGTGAAGGAAAGCCTTGCAATGAAAAAAAAAAAAAAATAACGGGAAGGGGGTGGGGGGGTAAATACACACATGCTGTGTGAAAGAAGTGCCTTTATTTTAAGTGCTAAACCTAGTCGATCTCAGCTGATTGTCCGTAACATACAACATGATTATTGCTATGTTTACTTTTTAAATATGCCCACCTAAATAAAGCTTACTGAATTTTAGTGAGATATATGTTTTTCCTTGACATAGACATTTAGAACCTCCAAGCCTTGTTGGCTTGTCCAGCATTCTTCAATTTGCTGAACAATTTGCCTCTGGTACCTGGCTTGCCTGGCTCCAATGCAACGCCTTTCATGGAGTGCCTGTAAGTATCCTTTTGCTTTATTGGTGAAGCGAGAAATCTTAAGACCGATTAGCAGCAACATACTGTTTGACAGGTGGCATGCTGAAGCTGCATTTGCTTCTTGTCCTGCCTGTGATGGTGTCTGCACTCCCCAGCTGGTTTGCTTTTAGTCCGCCAAAGATTTTCATTAGTCATTAACCTTGGCTGTCTAGTTCGCATGTACTACTCTGTTTTGAAAGTTCACAAAAATTAACAGACAATAATATTAAAAAAAGTATAGGAGATGTTAGTAAAAGAACGGTGGCTCTTCGGCCCGCCGAGTGCTCCTGTTGACTATGAGAGCGCTAGTTCCCTTTCAACCTGCCGCAAAGGCTATGGCACTAGCTATCGGCAATGTAGGCGTTTCTCTCAAAGCTCTCTTCAGCCGCAGTGAGCTGTTCGCCCCGATAAACTCACGTTTTTCTGATCAGTGTTTTGTGTTGCTCTCATGAACAGGCTGCATCACTTTAGCTGGATTAGTGGCCGATGACAGAGTGGCACACATTAGTACAAGGAATATGACGAACACAGGGAAAGGTGATCCCGGCCGTGGTGGTTGAAGCCCGTGTGCTATGTGATGTCACTTCACGTTGAACACCACTTTGTTGAAAATTTCCCAAGCCCTTCATTTCAGCGTAGCTCGTGATTATATTGTGGTTCTGGCACGTGAAACCCCAGATTTTAATAATAATAACAAAGATGTTTATTGTATGTTCTTCATTCGGTGCAGTTTAAACTTTTTATTCGGTGCAGTTTAAACTTTTTTTATTCAAGCCCAGCAATATCTAAATTTACCCCTGAATACCGAGAATAACATGCTACATTTGTAGATTTTAACTACGAGATAGATTAGCCCAGCAATATCCAAATTTACCCCTAAATACCGAGAATAACATGCTACATTTGTAGATTTTAACTACGAGATAGATTTTGAGGTATATTCTTGATATGGGCACACTGGCGAAAAACATTGTTGGAGCAGACCCAATGATATTGTCAGAAGCAAAAAAAAAAAAAAATGTTTTTACAAGTCTTTGAAGAAAGAAACATAACTTCTATGTGTATTAGATCTGCGCCGTTAGATTGATGCTGTGCATGAAGTTAAGCAATGGGTAATATGCTAGAGGTAATATGTCAAAGCCAGTTAGAATACTATATGTGCGCAACTAACTAGTCCAAAAGTAATTTTGGGGGGGTTAGATGGTTCTCTATACATGTACTCCAATAGATGCACATGGTTAGTTTGACTCTCTCATTGAAGCAATAAGAAAGCACAAAATCCTTGTCTTAATCTCACTCATACAAGTCAACTTTCCAATAATAATGTTTAAAAAATAGAGGCTACAATTTCAGTGTCAGCTGAATAGCTTAGGTTGATGCGTATTTTATTTATAAAACAATACTGTGCATAGTAATTTATGAGACATGGTGTATTTATTTCCACGGCATATATCTGGTTATAATGTGAAATGCACAACGAGCAATAATGATTCTCAGTAAAGTATACTGCGTGCATTTATTTTCCCATCATGGCGTATTTCTTTCCGCGAATTATGTCGGTATAATGGGAATCGGACAGTTATTAGTAATGATTCTTTGCAAGTAGTCTCACATACGCATCATTTATTACTGAAATGGTGGAAGATTTCACTATTTGAGAGCATTCTGGAAAAGTTTTCTGAAAATGTCTGAGTATTCTTTCTAGCGAGCTGCTAAAAATTCCACCCAGTTGGCCAGGAAGGAACTCAGTATTGTAGAACCTCGTCGATATGTTTTAGAAAAGAAAAAAAAAAAACGCTGAAGGTAAACATGCAATCTGGGACGACATGATCGGAATCCAGCAAAAATCGAGGCTGAAAAGTCTATATAGAGGGGTAAGGGCAAACATTTGTTTCTTCAAAAAAAAAAAAAAAAAACTAATTTTCTTCTGCCTCTCACCCTTGGACAAGAAAAGCTCGTGCACACATTGTAGACCCTTGTCAGCATTGTCATTGTTTGTCGTTCAAAAAAAGGTTTGTAAAGCTTCCAGTCCAGCAAGGGCTTCAGCGAGGTTATCAACTCGGCGCATGCTTTCGTTCTCACTGCTGTCTTCCTGTGCCTCGTCCCCCACCTCCGCTGTGTTGCCCCCACCACCTTCGCGACAATCTTCGCAGCACTTTGTGGCTCGCAAGCCGGAACGTTCTCCTCTATCACTATCGAGACGCACTTGGCGAAAAGTGCATCGGCATCGGTAGAGCGGAACTTCTCATCGATGTCGTTGTTGATGTCAGACACGCACGACACAAGGTGGTCTTCGCTGCACTTTGCATCCGCCGATGCAAGCTGCCGCTGAAGCTTATCCAGCGTCTCAATCAGCGTCTTTCATAATCTCATGGTGGTTTTGGGACGTTGAAGCCGATGCTTTGAGACTCATATTAGTGGGAAACCCTACCCTCGTGTGTTCGGCCACTCCGAGACCGCAATGCTGATGTTGGCACTTGCGATTGAGGCCCCCACCCCTTTTGTTTATTGCGATGTTGTTTTTGTTTGTTTGTTTGACCTTGGGTTTTTCGGTGCAAAAAAAAAAAAATAATGTTCGTGCTCGAGTGCTCATCTCCTTCTTGTCCTTTTGTCGTCGTTTTGTTCTCGCGCTGTAACTATCGTCATGTCGACATACCAACTAGCTCAAACTGCCACACTTCCAAGTCTCATGTCCACCAGAAGCCACACGAAGTGGAATTCACATTCGACTGGGAAGGTTGTGCATAGCAATGTTAGCTTGCTTTTCGTCTTCACGCTAATCGTGCGGTCCGCAAGACGTGTCTTTCGTGCACTGACCTTCGGCGACACAAGTAATCTTAATGTTCTTCAATGCTCCATATGTGTGTTCCACGGTAAAGTGATGGTTACGATGTTCTGTTTTCACCCGAGCGTCGCGTGTTCGATCCCGGCTGCGGCGGTTGCCTTGCGATGTAGGTGGAATGCTAGAGACCGAGTACCGCGCTATGTCCATGCACGTTTCTCTCCACTAAAAGCGTGCCTCACTATCATTACGTAGCTTGTCACGCAAAACCCCAAATAGTATCATAACATTCTGTACTTCCTTTCACGTCCTCAGTTTTGAGCGGATACTTACCGATGTAAGATATTGATAAGTTATCACAATGCCGATATTTTGGACGCTATAAAAATATATCCCTTATAGCACTTATTTGTATTCACTAGTGAGCTGCTTGTCGTTGGATGGGAAGGGTTCAGAAATGAATTCAGTGCTAGTGCTTTATGTGGTGGCACTTTAGTTTTCAGGGCCATTGTAGCGCAGAGCAGGCAATTCATGACTCTGCAAGCACATCTTTGTGATGTGCATGCAGTGACTATATTCTTAAACAGGCAAGCTTAAAGGCTTTCGTATTAATAAAGATAATACTATTTTGTTAAAATAATATTTATTGATTGCAGCATTCAGTAAAACTGTCTATATGCATGCCCAGGCAAAATCTAAATCCCTTCGTTTAGACCCAAGCCAAATGTGCGGCATTTTTTTTTTTTTTTTGCACACTGAACATGGAGTTTCTCCTACACCACGCATCATGAATGTATGGTGGTTTTGCATTTGAAGCTCTTAGCTGTTTCATAAGTTTCATGTAATAATCACAGCACAAATGTCCCCCCCCCCCCCCCCCTAAAAATCTTTATTGAGCATGTGCCACCAGATGAACTTAATATTACACAGTAATGCCTCTATCATATGCACACATTTTCAAATGATACAAACCTTCAGAGAACAACAAATGCACGAGCACTACGTTCCCCTACGGTTTGCGTTAGTGACAGGTGCTCCTTCTCGTGAGGCCGCAGAGGCAAGCATTGAGAAGGTACAGCTGACAATTTCTGTCTCCTTCTAGCAGGCTTCCATATCTGCGGGTCTGCATAAAAAAAAAAAAAAACTAATTGTAACTTCTCTATCGAATACTCCTTCCAGGAATAGCTTTAAATTATTTTTCACAACACAAGATGCCAAGTCCGTCATTCACAAACTGTTACGTATTTCTAAAGCATAACCTGAGTTGCTCGTTCCCGCTACGCTGACAAAACTGTGCAGCTCGTTCAAATGATGGCATGCGGTTGCAGGGATTTGACGAGGTGAGATGTAACGGCGACCATAAACTGGGGCTTGGCACAAGCAAAACCATAATAAATGTTGTACTACTACCAGTGCTACTGCAACACCCTGTCGCAAGCTCTACTTCACTTTTTCAATGAAAGCCTCAATTGTCCTCATAAAAACAATGAAAGCATGCATACAAATCAGATATTCTCATTTTCTTACCTATTGCTCCACAAATAGTCAGTGTTCACAAAGTGCACGCTGCACTCTTTCATCGGCGACGCGAGTGTCTTGCTAAATCTCAACTTCAGGATCCACTGCTTTTTTTCCCTCACCACGTCTCTTGGCGAGGTGTGGAGGCTGACTCTTGTTGACGCTTTGTACAATGCGGTACGCAGCATGTACGATTGCTTTTGAAGCCTTTAAATTTGGTCGTTTTATGGCAGCTGCCACAATTTGGAGAAGGAGGGGGGCGATAATGACTCTAAGAAGAAAAAAAAAAAAGCACCTTGGAGCGCCGCTGTCCTTCCGCTACTCCGGTACTCTTTGAACAAATTATGCTGGTGGCCGTGGGGCAGCGGGACAGTCTACGGAACTTACGAATTGCCATGTAAGGGACCCTGGGCCTTCATCAAGCTGCTGCGACAGCTTTTTGCCTAGGTGTTCCTTCAGATTGTTTTCTGGTAAATAAAAATTGAATTGAAAGTCTCACTGTGTCCATTGAGGCGAATTTCGAATGTTCAGCACACGAACACAAATTTAGGAAGTGTTATCTAAACGTACAGTAGCATCTCAGTGATGTGAAATCGCAGCAGATACGAATTCTTGAAATTTCCCAGCGAAATCTCACTGTGTCCATTGGGGCAAAATTCGAATGTTCAGAACACGAACACAA